CTGCCTGCCTGCCTGCCTACCGACCTACCTACTTACCTACCTAAGTAGGTACAGACACGAATACATAAGTAAATAAACAGATTTATGCGCACAAACTTACTTACTTGCATGTGTCTAGATATAATTGGCTTTGCAGATAGATAGACCAAGAGACATATAGATAGATAGGTAGATAGATAGATGTATGCATATATATATATACATATATATATATATGCATGTATGTATGTATGTATGTATGTATGTATGTATGTATGTATGTATGTATGTATGTATGTATGTATGTATAGAGTCGTGTGTGTGTGTGTGTGCGCGCATGTGAGTCTTGTCCACAGGCCCTTAATGTGAATCGTGGCGCGACGTTCTTGCCTTCCAAACCGAACTTCCGAGTTTCGACTTCAGGATTTCGAATTTAGGAGGGGTGAGGCTACAGGCTTTGGTTGGAAGCCTGGAAGCCTCGCAGTCGTTCGAACCAAACTCCCATCCCCTGCAATCCGACACAGCCCTTCGCGCTGAAATTGACAAGGTTGTGGCAGAGCGCCACGACTTGATGAGCAAGCTGCTTCCGAACCTCAACATTGGGGCGGAGAGCGGGTGCCACGAGGCCGAGAGTATTTTGCAACTGACCTTGTCGTTTCAGGTGTTTCGAGAAAGCAGAGCCAGCATTGAAGTTTCTGGGTAGTTCTCTAAATTGGGTAGTTCTCTAAATTCGGGTCCCTTTTCGGGTCCCCCCCAAAAAACTCTACCTTAGAGAACTACCCATATACTAAATGTTATGCAGCTTTTGGGGGGGTGTATTTCGTGAACCCGAGCGACAGCACAGTGGAGAAGAGTTTAGCAAACCCGAGTTCGTGCAGCAAGGTACCCAAGAGCAGAGCATGGCACAATAGAGTGACATGCAGAAGAACACACGGAGATACGATAATGTAGCGTAACATGACATGACGTAGTATATTGCAATATAACATAGGATAAGATAGTACAATATATATATATACACACATACATGAAAGAGAGAGAGAGAGAGATATATATATATATGTGCATTTCTAAAATCCTCAGACCTGACACCCTGCATCCCCTGACCTCCAAAACCCGCTAGATCTCTGCCAGGCCCCTCGAAGACTAAACCCGAAACCCTAAACCCTAAATCCTAAACCCTAAATCCTAAACCCAAAACCCTACACCCCAAATCCTAAACCCTAAACCCTAAACCGACCTTCATTTGATGCCGAAGCCCACGCCCCAAAGCCGATACACAGCAACACTAATCTAGCGGCCTTGATATATAGTTGAATACGGTTCTGGTGTATGTTGTCTTATAGCCATACTGAGGAACCCTACGGAACAGCATTATGGATGAATTATCTGAACCTTAAGCCCTAAACCCTGAAACCCTATACCCTAAAGCCTATGGCTGGATCACAGGTTCGCCTCTTCCTGGATGGCCGTTGGACCTCCTTGTCGCCCGCCCGTGGGTTTTGGATTTAGGGTCTTCCGGTAGAGTTTTCGGGTTTCGTAGTGTTTAGGGTTTGGGGGTTTAAGGTTTTGGGGTTTCGGGTTGTAGATGGCTTTACTCCCTTCACCGTAAACCCGATGTCCTTCTTACAGAAGGCCTTTGGGGAGTCTACATCCCGTGGCCCTAGCAAACTCGTTGGGGCAGGCCTCAGTCGAGTATGGCGGCTTGCTCGGGTCCCGTTAAGGTTACTTGAAGGGCATTGCGCGGGTATTATAAGGGTACGTTAAGGGGTACTATATGGGTACTATAAGGGTACCAGAAAGGTATTCTTAAGGAATACATGGAACACTTCAAGGATACTTGCGGTTTCGTAAGCAAAGGCCGTGTTCATTGCATTCTGTCGCGGGCTCTAAAGGAGTCTACAGGGGTTTAGCGGTACGCTCATGCGCGTGTTACGATAAATCTTCTGTTACTGCTTTGATTTCCCGACTCGTGATGATCCGGTAGAATATATAACGCTGATGATGATCCCAAACCCCTAACCTCAAAACCCAGCGCCCTAAACAAACTCAAAACCCCTAAACCTAGTGCCCGTTGAGGTTAGTGGACACCCCACAAGCCAGGACCCTAAACCCTAATCCCAAGAACCCAAGCCTGCTCAGGTTAGTGGACGACCACCTGCCCACCACCACCAAGCAGCGGCGCCCCACCGCAGACGGCAGCGGCCTCGCCTTCGGTCGCTGCGCGCGGCGCCAGCTTTGGGTGTCCCTGATCGAAGCTTCGGCCGTTTTGAGGTTCTCTTTGGGGGTCCTGTAAGAGTCCTACAAGCTTGTGCTTTGCGTCTTCTTCTTTAAGCAAGGGTTTGGACAGATTTTGCAATAGGTTTTTAAAATGAGGCCTTCTTCTTTTCATGAGGCAAGAGGGGTTTCAAGGTCGAAGTTGTGCAGGGCTGAAGCCCCTGAGGCCCCAACACCCCAACACCCCAACACCACAACCCCTGAACCCCAAACCCTACATCCTCAACCCCACACCCCAAACCCTAAACCCTTATTCGCGACCTGAGATTGCCCTAACTTGAAGCCCCGGGTCTCCTGGCCCTTTTTGTGTGGCTGTCCTTGTTTAGGGTTTAGGGTTTAGGGGTTTAGGGTTTAGGGTAACAGTCCCTTGAAGAACCCTTACGGAACCCAGAAGAACCCTTACCGAAGCCTCTGCTTGGGACTTCACCTTTCCCGGGTTCTTTGGCATCAGGCCGACGCGTGGCAGTGTCCCCTTTCATCGCTGATGCTACACAGGGTTTAGGGTTTAGGGTTTAGGGCAGCCTTCTCCGATAATGTAGGAACACCAGTTTAGGATGGAAAGTCATGAGTACTGTGAGTTCTCTTGTAATCATTCTCATTGGTCTTGTTTCTAAGGTTGTTAATTATGGTGACCGTTGCTACATTCCTCTTCGCGGTATCTGCAATGTATTATCATAACATGCTTGTCAATGTAAGCCTACAAAACTCTAAACCCTTAAAGGCCTTAAAGGCCTTAAAGGCACTAGATCTCAAAAAGCCATCCTCTGGTGTTCTAACCTATGCATCGCGAGAATTAGCAGTAGCATGCCATGCTCCTTAGCCAGTCTGCATCGTGCATCCCTATAGCCCTGTGAAAACCTGTGCAAAGCATGAGCTTTTCATGATTAGGATCTCAGCCCTAAACCCCAAGCCCTAAAGCCTTAAACCCTAAACCCTAAACCCCAAGCCCTAAAACCCTAAACCCTAAACCCTGAACCCTAAACCCCAAGCCCTGAAACCCTAAACCCTAAACCCTGAACCCCAAGCGCTGAAACCCTAAACCCTAAACCCTGAACACCAAGCCCTGAAACCCTAAACCCTAAACCCCAAGCCCTGAAACCCTAAACCCTAACGCCTGAACGCCAAGCCCTGAGACCCTAAACCCTAAACCCCAAGCCCTGAAACCCTAAACCCTAAACCCTGAACGCCAAGCCCTGAAACCCTAAACCCTAACCCTGAACCCCTAAAACCCTAAAGCCCTAAACCCCAAACTCTGAACTCCAAGCCGGGCAACTGAGGAGAAGGCGTATGCCAAGGCCCACGGGGCCTACCGATTCATCAGCGGCGGGGAGACGTCGGAGGCGCTGGGCAGTCTAGGGTTTAGGGTTTAGGATTTAGGGTTTAGGGTTTAGAGTTTAGGGTGGCAGACTCCTTTTTTGGGGTTTTTGGGGCTTTGGGGGTTTAGGGTTCATTGTTTAGGGTTTTGAAGGGTTTTGGGTTTTAGGGGTGCATGGGGTTCAGGGGTTTAGGAGGATTTGAGTGGAGTGAGGGGCTTAGGGTCACCTTTGAGTTTAGAGTTTTTGTTGTTTAGGCCTTCTAGGGTTCAGGGTCTTGGATCTAGAAGCAGAGTGCCGTAAACGGGGTGCCTCATTGCGTATGGCGCGACGGTTAGAACAATTGTAAGCATGTGGTTAGAATCTAGAAGAAGAATACATGGCATGGGGGGCAGTACAGAAGCATGGGGTTATGTGTATATAACGGGGTTTGAGGAGGCCGCGTTATGCTGAGGTAAAGATGCGATAAACCACTCCAGAATTCTATGTTCAGAGTGCATGCTGCGTCCGGTGTCATCGGAATGTGGACGTGGTGCCCCGGTCTTAAACGGTGTTACGGTATTATCAGTGCTGCTTCGGGGTCACTGTGCTCGGAAGCCCATGCAGGATGCAGGGAGTAACAGCGATAGCCGCAATGCTGATCTGACTATGAAACGAGTATCAACAATAGTAGTAAACTGAACATCGCAGCGGAGGTAGGAAGCGTCGTCGTAGCAGTGAGCTACCAGCAGCACCCATGATTGCTGTCATAGTTGTCGCATTCGTGATGGTCGCAATACTCGCCTTGCAGGCATCGACAGTGCGAAAAAGTGCTTCACCGCTTGATAACTATGTTCGAACTAGCAACCATATTAGTCACTTATCAACATCAGCTTTCTAGAAAGAGGCCACCATACTACTATACCAATAACCTTAGCAATCGCGGGAATCCTAAACCCTAAACCCCTAAACCCTAAACCCTAAACCCTAAACCCTAAACCCTAAACCCCTAAACCCCTAAACCCCTAAACCCTAAAACCCTACACCCCTAAACCCTAAGCCCGAACTAGCAGCGCAAAACAGAACCCGAAGCAGCCTGCGCCTTCCCTCGCGGACGCCTGATGTGGCCATACGCCTTGAAGCATTCAACTCCAAGCATTGAGAACAAAACTGGTTTAGGGTTTAGGGTATAGGGTTTAGGGTTTAGGGTTTGGCCCAAACAACTGCAAACCTCAAACAGATTCTTTAGCATACTCTCATTATTAGGGTTTAGGGTTTAGGGTTTAGGTTTTTACTCTGTCTAACTGTTTTAGATGCTGTAAATGACACCAAAATACCCCCGAGCTTCCAGAACCCTAAGACAACCTCGGAGGCGCTGCTTGAGCTGACCGGGGCGCCCACCGAGGCTGCGACGGTGAATTTCGGAGCACAGCTCGTTTTTTTTTTTTTTGCTTTGGGCTCCTTTTGCTAGAAGAGCTGGGGATGTAGGGTGTAAGGCTGTATTTTTTTTGAAAAGGGGGTTTGGGGATTTCAGGTTTGCTTGGAAATTCCACCAAACTGTGAACCCTAAATCCTACAATCCCAAACCCTGCTTCCTCTACCCGAAAGCCGGAGCCTGAGAGACCGTAGGCTTCGTATGATTGACATTTCTAGAGACGTTTACAACAATCAAGACTCCTCACAACAACGCAGGCTTGAAGAACCACCAGTACTAGGTCAGCTTCTTGTTGCTTGTTTTTTGGGGCATGACTCCAGGTCAACATGCAAACCCGGACACCCCAAAACTGGAGAAAGCTCACGTACTTGCTTGAGGAACACGGGCCTGTTTTCCTTGCACTCTCTGTTTTCGAGGGCGCCGTCCTGTAGTTCTACTATAACATACCCGACAACCCTACTCTAGGTGTAACTACTACTGCCCGCACGTCCCTAAATCTCTTTTGCTTCCCTCTGATAAGGAATCCTACCCCCAAGTACTAAGGAATCCTAGCCCAATTACTGAGGAACCGTACCCCAATTGTGTGAAGGAACCCGACCCCTATTATGAAGTAACCCTACCCCAGTCATCGCAGAATCCTACCCCAAAATGAAGAAACCCTACCCCCAATTATCGAAACCCAAAGCCCTAAGCCCTAAGCCCTAAACCCCTAACCCCTAAACCCTAAACCCTATACCCTAAATTATAAAGGAATCCGAGCAGGTGGTGCAGTTCCGGGACCCAGCGTTCGACCCAGAGCTCTTCTGGGCTCGGATGGTTTCTCTCCTCCAGGCGGAGTTGGGGTCGATGGGATTTCGTGTGGCGTGTTGCCTTTTAATACGGACCCGTATGAGGGTTCCGTAGGGGTTTATGTTGGGGATTCTTGGGTTTTTTGTTGTTACCGGTTGTGGTGTATTTGGGCTTAAACTCCTAAACCCTTAGCCCTAGACCCTAAACCCTAAACCCTAAACCCTAAACCCTAAACCGTGAGCCCTAAACGCCCTAAGCCCTAAACCCAAAGCAGTGCGGGGTTTACAGGACCTCCGAGTTTCGGGCCTCGAGGCTTCAAGGTTTATTTAGAGTTTAGGGCTTGAGGGTTTAGGGTTTAGGGTTTAGGGGTTTAGGGTTTAGGGGTTTAGGGTTTAGGGTTTAGGGTTTAGGGTTTGGGGTTTAGGGTTTAGGGTTCAGGGGCTTGAGGGTTTAGGGTTTAGGGGTTCCGGATGTTGCTCTCGCTATACTGAGAAGGATCCTTCAGGCCTAGTAATCCACAATTCTGCAGCTAAAGTTTGTAGGGGCCAGAATAGCAGGGCCGAATATAGGAGCCTAAAAAATTATCGATACTCTTTTAATGGTTCCTTATTGTACTTATAGTAAAATACACCTAATACAGGGCATTGGATCGAGCGCCGACAGAGGCGAATTGCCAATCTGCCCCAGTGTACAAAGTACACGTCACGGGGAAGCACCCTAGGAGTCCTCCCTGGCACCGCCATATCCGACGGCGGCGCAGCCTTGCTCGGCAGCGGGTGCGTGCTGCCCTTTCTCGGGGAACGGTTCCTCGTTCACGGGACGTCCTCTTGCTGAACCTGCATCACAGCCGACCGGCGTATCCTATGGGTGGCGGCCGTAAGAAGCAATGGTCGCAAGCGGAATGGCAGGAGTGGCAGCAAGGCGGACGGCAAGGAGGACAATCCGGTGGGAGGTCCTCGCGCTTGTGGTCTGGAGCTTGGGCTTCGGCATCTCCCCTTGCTCGGGGAGCAGAGCGGGGAGCCGAGAGGTACGATCGTATGCCGGTGCGTCCGGCACAGAGCAGTACGGCGGCCCCGAAGACCGAGAATGCTGTGACCGGCGCGGACAGCGAACTCAACAGAGAGCTGCAGCGCTCCCTCACGGTCGCAAAGAAGGCGGACATCAAGATACGCAAGCTGCAGGAGGAGAAGGAGCGCCGGGCTGCGCAGTGGGACGCGTTTGTTCTGGAGTCTCGCAAGAAGTTCCTGCAGCAGCGCAAGCAATATGCCCAGGATATCGAACGCATCAATGCGGACATGCTCGCGCCCACGGAGACCGGACAGGATGCCTGCTTTGCGTCGTACTTTGCAGCTGTGGATTGACGAACTCGGTCCTTGCCCTGTGCGCGACGCTGCCGCGGACGTTCTGCTGTGCATGCAGATCGATCTCTTGTGCGATGACGTTTTGCCGCGTAATGATGGTCCCCGTCATGCGCTGGTTGATCCGCTGGTTTTGCCCCTTGTGTGGTGTCCGCGCCCTGCTGGACTTCCCGGGCTCCTTAGCGGCGCGTCTTTGGACTTGGGATCGCGGATTCTCGGCATCGCGCCAGGAGGCGGCTGGCGTACCTACCCTTTTGCCTTCTTCCTCCCTCCGGCTTGGATTTTGAAGGGGCTTACGTCTTCCTCCCGCCGCCTCCTACTGAGAGCTCCCCCTTTTGGGCCCTCCCCTCTTGTCCCTTGCGCACCGCTCGCCGCCACCTGCGCTGGCTTGAGACTTGCTTGGGATGGATTGCTGCCGTGCTCTCGCTGGCCGCCTGTGGCCGGCGCTGTCACCTTGCCTTTGGTTTTCCGAGAAGTTCTCTTGCTGTGCTTGGGGACTGGCTCGTTACGTGCCAAAGCGTGGCCCAGGGGCACGGAGCGCTCTCACTCAGTTTCACCCGTTGAATTTAGTTTCTTGCTTTAGGCGCGTTCGACCAGAACACATGGCCTTCCGAAAGAAAGACACCTAATACATCGCAAAACCGTATTCTAGTCATTACGGCCCGTATACTAGATAATAGAATTTGTTAATGGTTTCAGACGGGCGGTTCTGGGTTTCTTGACTCCACCCCTTTCTGGTCTAGAATCCCGAAAGAGGGGCCTTAATAATTACCTGTACTACTTTGACCCAAGAAACCTTGACGCTTTGACACTCTCGTAAACCACACTACCAAAGCTTGGAAGCCCTTGGTCCCCAAGAGCAACCAAAAGCCCCAACTCAAACCCGCAGACCTGGGTTTAAGGTTTAGGGTTTAGGGCTTAGACCTGGGACCAAAGATGCGCCCTTCAAAACATGTTTTCTTCTTCAGGAAGTACATGAGGAAGTCTACAGAATCAGGCCAGCCCAGCCCACCAGCCCAGACCCCAGCCGACCCCCGAATGGAAGGCAAGGGTGCATCAGGAAAATCTGCGCTCAAAACTGTTCAAAACTTATCGGCACCATTTAAAAAAAATCCACAAACCCTCTTCCAGGAACCCTAAACCCTAAACCCATAATGAGATCGTTGCTTTCTCAGGCCGGCTGCCCCATCGGCTGCGGCACCGGTGCAGAAACCCTGGAAGAGCTCGGGCTGGTAGGCCGGGACTCTCAAAGGGCTTAGGGTTTAGGGTTTAGGGGTTTAGGGGTTTAGGGGTTTAGGGGTTTAGGGTTTAGGGTTTAGGCTTTTTTGTGGTTCTTTGTTCGATCCGTTTCTTGGGTTTAAGGTTTGGGCGTATTCAGGGGTTTCCGGTTCACAGCTGCGGGAATACCCTGATTTTAGAGATGCAGCCATCCTAAGCCCTACAACCCTAAAACCCTCAAGCCCTAAACCCTAAACCTTGAACCTTAAACCCTGAACCCTAAAACCCTAAACCCTAAAGCCCTAAACCCCTAAAGCCCTAAAAACCCTAATGCCCCCCGAAGGCCAGCACGCCTACTCCGTCCTGGAGACGGATGAGTCCGCCTTCCAAACCGCTTCTCAGGCCAAGGTTCAGGGTTTAGGCTTTAGGGTTTAATCAATGTAGGAGCCTAAATAATTACCCATACTATTTGGGGGGTTTCTTATTATAATCATAGTATACTGGGCCCCAAAACCCAAGTAGTAAGGCCCCTATATTAGGGGTTCAGGGGTTTGGGGTTTAGGGTTTAGGCTTTAGAGGTTTGGGGTTAGGGGTTTAGGGGTTTAAGGTTCAGGGGGTTAGGGGTTTAGGGTTCAGGGGTTTAGGGCAGGGGTTTAGGGGTTTAGGG